ACGGCATACGTAATCTCGCGAGTCCGAAACCTACACTGAGAGGGAATTAAGTCTCACAGCTGACCGCGAACGGCATACATTATCTGGATTGACATTATGTCAATCCAGATAATGTATGCCGTTCGCGGTCAGTAGGGAAATATAATATATATTTCCCTACTAAAATACGAAAGTTAATCTGTCTGTCACATCAAAACCACTGAACCCTGAGGAAGGACCTAAGCTACTTTTTTACGAAAAACGACGAAAACGCGGACGAAGTCGCGGGCAAAAGCTAGTCGTTACTAAAAGTGTATCTAACCACCTACTCTCTCGCAATGAGTGAATTCCAATGTACCAGACGCGACCTATGTCTTGTTTTGATTGAAAGTGACGGGAATTATGTTGTTGCTTTAACAAGTTATATACGGAATAATTTTATCAACTTTTCTGAGGCAAATATCGCTAAAATTGTCGCAAGTGTACAAAAAAATCTTATTACGACCTTTCGTCAACGCTACACTAAATCTGGCAGAAATAAAGAAAAATTTTTAAATCAGAATAGCCTGTGGTTGAATGCTACATTCACAGTAAATCTGGAAGATCCTACTTGTGAATCTGAACCTTCGACATCGACGGGGAAGCGAGGACGCCCTTCTAAAACCTACGAAGACAGTTCCGATAGAACACAAAGACGAAAAAACAAGGAGTTGCTTGAAACATGTGGCCTTGATTTTATACTGAATTCATATCTTCAAGGATTGAGATCTCAAGGGGAAACGGAAGAAGCATTCATTGTCGAAATTTTACGAGTATTACCCATAGATAAAAAAAGTGAAATACATCAAAATCTTTTAAATGAACCGGCACATTTAACAGCGTACTCTAAAGATGAAGCTCTCAGTATTTTTATAGAGTTGGACCTTAACATGGCACAGTATGAAAACATGAGAAATTGCTTAATTGCGAAGAACTGCGTATTATTTCCGTCATATAAATCAATTTAGGAAGCTAAAGGAATGTGCTACCCACCAAGATCAAGCATAGAAATTAATAATATTACAGCAAAAATAAAACTGCAAGATCTGCTGGATCACACTATTGCAAGAATTTTGAAAATCAATGGTGTATACAAAGCTGGCAAAAAACATTTAATGTTGTATTCGAAATGGGGCTGTGATGGCTCAAGCGGACAAAGTGAATACAAGCAAGTCTTAACTGAAGAGGATGAGTTAATGACAGAGACACAAATTTATTTATATCTTCATTAGTACCTCTGAAACTTGTTGATATTAATACAAATGAAACTTTGTGGGAAAACCCTGTTCCATCATCAGTAAGATTTTGTAGGCCCATTTTAATAGAATTTTCAAAAGAGACACCAGAGAAAACTACAAGTGTAGTTAATGAAATTATAGCTCAAAGAAACGCTCTCACAACAAGCTTAATCAATAAAAATGGTGAAAGTATTGAAATCAAACACACATTATTTTTGACAATGGTTGACGGGAAAGTGGCTCAAGTTTTGTCAGAAACTTCATCAGGTGCTGTATGTACTATTTGTGGTGCAAGACCTACAGAGATGAACAATTTAGAAAAGTACAAAATAAACCTGTTGACGAAAATTCTTATCAATATGGGCTTTCGACTTTACATTGCTGGATTAGATTCATGGAACTAATTTTACATATATCTTATAATGTAGGCTTTGAAAAATGGTCTGCTACAACGACAGAAAATAAAGATTTGAAAAAACAAAAGAAGACATATGTACAAAGAAGGTTCAGAGAAGAACTTGGTTTAAATATAGATAAACCTAAGCAAGGTCCTCAAGCTAGACGATTTTTTCAAAATTATCAGTGCACTGCAGAAATTACCGGTGTGGATGAGGAATTGATAAAACGATTTTATGTTTTACTTCAAGTTATGTCTAGCGGAAAAGTAATTAATGCTACGAAATTTGGACAGTATGCTTTCGATACAGCACAACGATATGTTAGTAAATATATGTGGTATTATATGCCATCATCTGTCCATAAAGTCCTAATTCATGGGGAAAGTGTAATTCGGCATTATTCAGTGTTACCTCTTGGACAGCTCTCCGAAGATGCCCAGGAATCAAGGAACAAAGACTATAAACGATTCAGACTTCATCATGCTAGAAAATGCTCTAGAGTAGCTACAAATGAAGACGTTTTACATACACTTTTGTACACTTCAGACCCTTACATAACAAGTTTAAGAAAACCTTCCAATAAAAAGTCTATGGAACTTATAGATGAAGCTGTAGAGCTAGTAGAATAATATAATTCTGTGTTATTTTCTTTTTCTTATTATATTTAATTATTAAGAGTAATTTTATGTGTTTATTTTGTATTAATTATAACATTTAGGTCACATTGTTTAAAATTAGTCGTAAATTTATGATAATTTTTCAATATTTCATGTTTTGTATTTTTTTACAATTATTAAATATATTTTTATATGCATAGACTGTATATTATTTTAAAGTAAGTTTATCTCAGATTACCTAAAAAAAAATGAGCTGTATATCTATAAAAAACATGGAAGTTATAGATTTATGACCCGAAACCGACTCGATCTCCACATAGTGCGTCGCACGTGAATACTGAATCATGCTATAAGGATTATTTTTGTGTAACGGTTGCCGCGCTCGACACGGGTCGCGGCGGCGCGGTAGGGTATAAAAAGGCGGGAGGTCCGAAAGCGCGCTTCCCCGCCCCCCCGATCCTGAGAGACCTTCAGTCGCTCTGTCCTAACCCGATACGGATGCACATCAGAGTGCATCCGTCCTCTAAGCGCACTATGCAGTAGTATTTACTAAGGCAGCGCTGCATCATCCCCTTCTCAGGGGTTGATCGCATCAGATGAAGCCTGTATGGCCCCTAAGGCCATAGGCATCCCCCACGGGTGTGTTTTAGTCAGTAAGAGGCTGACATAACCCTACAGCCGGCTGTAGGGTATCCATGAGGATTTCACACCCGCTCGCCCACCTGGGAGGAAACAAAAAAAAAAGCGAGCTTCATTCAATATTTGGCTGTTGATGCGTTCAGAGCGTTCGACCTTATTGACAGACAATAATTGATATTAAGAAACCGTGCTTATCTTAGAATAAAAACCAAACATTTGTAAACAAAATTAGCAAATAAATCATGTAAAACGTGTAGAAAATGAGTACTGGAAAACGGAAATATGAGAATTTTAGTTTGATTATAAATACAGGTAATAAAAATGACCGTTTTTATCTATATCACACTAATATTATAAAGGCGAAAGTTTGTGAGTGTGTATGTTTGTTACTTCTTCACGTTCAAACGGCTGGAGCGATTTTAATAAAATTTGGTATGGAGTTAGCTGACACCTTGGACTAACACATAGGCTACGTTTTACTCCGGGAAAATAGCCCTAATAAACCGCGGGTAATACCGCGGGGCACAGCTAGTATGTATATAAAAGTGAAAGGTGACTGACTGACATAGTGATCTATCAACGCACAGCCCAAACCACTGGACGGATCGGGCTGAAATTTGACATGCAGGTAGATGTTATGACGTAGGCATCCGCTAAGAAAGGATTTTGATCAATTCTACCCCCAAGGGGATAAAATAGGGAATGAAAGTTTGTATGAAACTTTGTCAATTTTAAACCGATCGGACTGAGACTGCATGCAGGTATAAGAAGAATCATAGATGAATGTCATTGTGTATAATACAAGCCTGAGAACAAAAACTGTAGTCTACACTTCAGCTCTACACCGAAGCGAAGCGAAGGCAATTGTTGCTGACCTATATTTTGATGAGATTTTCTTTTTTTTGAAGTTATACTTCTTTAGGCGCGTTATGAAAAAATGATGAGAGTGAAATTTTAAGATGCGCGCGCATCACTGTAACACAAAATATTAACAGCATGAAGTTGGTCGCTTTAGCGACCAACTTCATGCTGTTACTTTTGTGTTTACCGCACATTAAGAAAATCTACCAACAAAATAGAAATAGAATCTCTATTTAGTGGGTGCTAACGACTGCATCGTGAAGGCCTATCAAAAGTATTTATTAATCTGGAATAACGGAACCAAAGAGCGATTCAGGAGACTACAGAGCCATCTCTTGACCATTGGTGTAGTAAAACCAAAAACCACATCTTTATTTTTTGTAATAAAGTAACAGTTATAGGTATTCATATTTATAATATTTATCCACATGTTTCTAGTTTGTATATTCGGAATACGTGTTTGAGTTTCATACAAGTGCGAATCACATATGTTCTAATAAATTATATTCAGTAGCGATTTCAATTGAATATTTTGATTATTTATTTATTTTTTCAAATTAAAACTGAACTTTATTGACTGTGTCCTTTTCCAGACTTTTTATTAATTTATTGTAATTAATTATTTGCATGCAATTAAAAACTAATTTTAAACGATGCCAAAGAAGGATAACTTCTCACGCGCCTACATAAGTACACGCACCCATTTTTTATAGCTAGGTAGGCAAATGACTCTACCCCACCTGATGTTAAGTGGTGATAGAGTCATGACGCGAAGATAGCTGGTACAGCAGTTATAAACTGCCACACCAACCATCTTCACCTTGCCGGACTGCAGCAATGCTTCTTCACGCTTCTCTTTAAAGGTCCCCAGATTGTAGAAAGGCGACAAGTCACCAAATTTCTTTGTTCATGTTGGTAAAGAGGCCACAGTAGGTCGGTGACAACGTGGGCCAGCGTGCGTTTCTAATTCTAGAGGTCGTAAATGCCCGGGGCGCCAGATTTCAAAACATACATTTTGTTTTGACATATACTATGTCTAATGACTATATATATATATATATATCATAACTAAGACAGCAAGCGTAGCTGCTGTTTGTAATATAAGTTAAATGGAAATGTCCCAGCGTCATCGGTCATAGGTCGAATTAGTGATTGTTTCTGGGACCGTCTAAGCATAGTTAAGCATAAGTTAAGTAGTTACAAATACTCATGTCATTATTGTTTTACAGTTGTTGTAGCCAAAACCTTCTCCTTGAACGACGCACTCGCGGCTGAATCACAACTGAAGACTTCAGATCTATCTTCACCTATATCCACAGGTATCCATACTTACCAATATTATTACTGCGAAAGTGTGTCTGTCTTTCTGTTACCTCTTCACGCTAAAGCGATGTACGACACACTCGTCAAAACAAGCAACTGAACCGATTTAGCTGAAATTTGGTATAGAGATAGATGAGTCCTAGGAAAGGACAGAGGATACTTTTATCCCAAAATAATCTAAGTTTTCTGTGTGTTTCTCAAAAAACTAACCAGAAAACGTAAACGCGATAAATTTGTAGGATAGATGACTGTGTATACATCGCGTATATTTGTATAAAAATATTTTGAGGGACTTAGAATAATACAAAGTAATGTCATCATTATCATATTTTATAGAAACAGACTGTGAGAATAGGCTGTATACCATAAGCTAAGAAAAGGTACCCTAGGAAGATGAGCAAGTGGTTAGCATGTTCAGCCAGTCATCGTGAAAATTAGACAATTTTCACAATAACCGGTTATCGGATGGGTGGTCAATTTATTATCTTCAGCTCCTCCTCGCTTGGGCAGGCACGTTTGCCGTTGGTGACGACTGCATCTGCAGTCGTTTACCCCCACCAAACCGCACTGGGCCCGCGTGTCTAAAATTAAAAAACACGACTGCCGTTGTATTGTAAAGAATTTAAGAAAAAAGTTAAAAAATAAGGTTTGTTTTTCGAATTACAACTATATTTTTGAATGCACGACTTTAATGACTTCGACTTTAATGCAGGCGACTTTTAAAGACATCTTATTACAAAACCTTCCCCCGGCTGCAATAAAAAAATATACTATCATTTCGTACTATCGTTTTTTTATTTATTTTTTACCGGCAGTCGTGTTTTTAATTTTTTTATGGTTGTGAATGAATAATTCCATCCCCATAAGTACCATGTCACTTACGCAATCGGCAATGTATCAGAGTCATTGGAGGAAAACCAGAGCTTCTTCCACGAAGGACATGCCAATCTGCCAACTTATATTGCTAGACTCAGCAAGAACCATAGCTGGTGAGCGTATGTGACACGCGACGAGTGCCGTAGAAGAAACCAGGCAATGATCAGACGAAACTAAAGGGGCATCCACCGCCACCCTTGTATCCGTCTGGTTGTGTCGTTAAAAACAGATCCAACAGGGATGTTTCGTGGCTCTTTAATACCTGGGAAACAAGTTGGCTGCGTCACCATTTGAGAGAACCCATGGGCCAGAGCGAGGTCATGAAAGGTGTGGGACCCCAACCAAACATGATGGTGAATTATGAAGTTGCCAAGGATCACTACCGCAGCAGACGGGAACTGCTCAAGCCTTGTCGATACCATCTCCTATATCTAAATATAGCCATTTTTAGTTTTCAATAACTACCCCCTAAAAGAGCACTAGGAGGGTGTTGAAGGTTTTATGTGGATGAATTTTAACAAAATCTACCCATAAAAAAGGGGAAAAAAGGGGATGAAAGTTTGTATGAAAAAAAATATTCTTCGATTTAAAATAAATTTGATTTAAACGTAATAATTTATTTAGATAAGTATTGGTACAAATACTTATCTAAATAAATTATTACGTTTGCCATTTGTAGTTTGGCTAAACTATCCATAAAGGAGGGATTGGAGAGTGTCTAGTTTTATATAAATGAATTTTAACGCGAATTTCGATTAACTCTAAACTTAGTATTTATGCTTGAGACCTGAAATTAAGAAGAACAAGTATCAGAGTTCTTTGAAACTCTACCCCTAACGGGTGAGAAGGGGTAGTAGGACAATGGGAAGAAACGTCCCCACACCCCTCAACAGACCTGAAACTAGTGTCATTCGAAGCGTCTAGTCAGTTAGATAATTTCTTACTATGACAACAACAACAACAGCGGCAACTTGAAATATATGGGGTTTAGATTTTATAAATGCTAGAAGTGCGGTTTCACGAGAGAAAAGTTGAGAAAATAGGTTATAGTGGGTCACCCTTAAAAGATAGATATATACTGTGGCAGACTTTTTTATAGACCTTAGAAAGGAGAACAATTCTGTCATGTATTATACATGTATTTTAAGTTAATTTACCGTTAACGCAGCGCACGCAGCGGAAACTCTCGAATGGGATATTTTATCCCGTTCTAAGCGTCCTTGCACCAATTTTCGTTAGTGCCCGTCTCCTTTTTGTTGTATCTTTATAATAAATAGTTTATAACCTTAGATAAATGCACTATCCAACACAAAAATAAATATTCAAATCGGACCAGAAGTTCCCGAGATTAGCGCGTTCAACCAAACTAACTCTTCAGCTTTATAATAATAAATAGGCGTACTGGTACTGCACTTGCCTTACAGACAATAGTACTGTAGGACGTTGTGCACACATTATATCCATCGTACGGTATATGGGGTTAGGGAAACATACTGGTTTCAATGCACCGGCACAATTGCTTGATCATATTGTAATTGATGACTTTATGTAAAATGGATTAGATAGAACCTGAAAAATCCATAACCAAATCCAAGCCAACCCAAGCAGTAAATGGCAACTCAGATCTATCAATACATGGACCTGAAAGGTCTGAAAGGTATAAGCAAGAGTAAGATCAACTTACCAAGTAGGTACTTGGAACCTGACCTGCATTATCTCTTTCATATCTCTTAAAATAACACGAATCGATTACTGTTTGTAATTGAAGAGTACCATTGTTTCTCCAAAAGTACCTACTGATCCTCACCAAACTAATACGGTAGAATTCCGCCAAAAATCTGATTCAAATAAATTAAGAATCGTCAAAATCGGTTGTGTTTATCGTTATTTAACCACATTTTAGACCTTACCAATTCCAACTCATTTAAGTATGACTATTTAAAAGCATCAACACATTTTATGTAGTCAGGGGGAAAAAAATCCAGTAAAAAATGTCTTTATACACTGTCAAGTCATAAGTATTGTTAACAGTAAAAACTTTTCTTTTAGAATGCTGGCCACAAAAAAGTTTATTGAATTCGAATTGTTCATGAAAATAAAAATGTATACTTTTTAGAATATTACTCATTTTTAAATATGGAGTGGACGCCAAAAGAAGACCGTGTTGCAGTTATTGCGTTGCATCGTTGCGGTTACGCACCAATTCAAATTTATGACGTACTGAAAAAATTTAATATAACCAAAACATTCGTTTATCGTACCATCAAACGATACAAAGAAGACTCTAGTGTAGATGACAGGTCAAGAAGTGGTCGCCCTCGGTCTGTTAGGACTCCAGCAGTGATAAAAGCTGTGAAGGCGCGAATTCAAAGAAATCCCAAACGTAAGCAGAAACTGTTGGCCCTTCAGATGGGGTTAAGCAAAACCACGGTGAAAAGGGTGTTAAATGAAGACTTAGGGCTTCGGGCATATCGACGAAAAACAGGACATCGTTTGAATGCTCGTCTAATGGACCTGAGACTGAAGAGATGCCGCGCTTTGTTAAAGCGGTACGCGGGAAAAAAATAGCGGAAAATTCTTTTTTCGGATGAAAAAAAAATTACCGTAGAAGAGAGCTACAATAAACAAAATGATAAGGTGTACGCACACAGTAGTGAAGAAGCGAGCAACCGTATTCCGCGTGTCATTTTCATTTCACAGGTCATTTTCCGTCCTCGCTCATGGTATGGTTGGGAGTTTCTTATTGGGGCCGTTAACAGAGGTACATTTTTGTGAGAAAGGTGTAAAAACGAATGCAGTTGTGTATCAAAATACAGTCCTGACGAACCTTGTGGAACCTATTTCTCATACCATGTTCAATAACAGGCACGGGGTACTCCAACAAGATTAGGCGCCAGCTCATAGAGCGAAGAGCACACAAGACTGGCTGGCGGCGCGTGAAATCGACTTCATCCGGCACGAAGACTGGCCTTCCTCCAGTCCAGATTTGAGTCCGTTAGATTACAAGATATGGCAACACTTGGAGGAAAAGGCGTGCTCAAAGCCTCATCTCAATTTGGAGTCACTCAAGACATCCTTGATTAAGGCAGCCGCCGATATTGACATGGACCTCGTTCGTGCTGCGATAGACGACTGCCCGCGCAGATTGAAGGCCTGTATTCAAAATCACGGAGGTCATTTTGAATAAACTTTATTGTCATGAGAATCTATGTTTTGTTAAGTTCATTTTGGTATACTTTATTAGCTTTTTTACCAAATGGTTACATAATGAATACTAATACTTGTTTCAATTATATTTTAAACATGTGACAGAATTTATGACCTAACTGAGGTATAGCTTTAGTCTTCCCTCGCAGCTCTTGCACTCGACCCTCTTGGCTCTTGCATAAATACGGCCCTGTATGTACACACATCAAAAGTGTCTAGGGATCAAGCATTTTTATGCGGATTTCTTGAGATTGAGATGTGGCTTTGTAATAAATTTATGATTTTATAAATTTATATGGATCCTTTTTGGTGCATTTCACAATTTGAATCAGGAACTGTGAATCAAATTCGAGTAAAAGATGAAAATCAGCTGTCAATATTTTCCCTATAAAAACATACAACGCATTGAAGACATTATTAGTGCTACTGTTTCCCTACTACTGATTAAAACCAACGTTATTATGGAGCGGCGACGTCATTTAAGCAGGGAAGAAATGCTCAGAGCCGTGGGAATGATAGAAGCTGGTTCCCGGCAACGTACTGTGGCTTTAGCTCTGAATACAAGTCAGAGTGTTATCAGTCGACTTTGGACACGATACCGAAGCACTGGTACCGTGGCTGAGCGCCATGGAGGACGGTATCGCTGCACCACACGGAGACAAGACCGATACATTCAAATCTTAACTCGAAGAGCTCCAACAATAACCGCCATGATGTTAGCCGTGAGGCTTCATCACTCTTCAGGGAACTTAATTAGCGACCAAACAGTCAGAAACCGCTTGCATGAAGTGAACCTTCATTCCCGAAGACCGCTACGGGTACCACCTATAGCAATGCACAATCGTAGGATTCGATATCAATGGGCTCTTGAACACAGAAATTGGGCAGAAGAACAATGGCGTTTCGTGTGCTTTTCTGATGAGTCTCGTTTTGGTATGAGACCGGATACAAGACGTATACGACACTGGAGAACCCCTGGACGCCAACAGCGATTAAAATCCTGCCAGGAAGTCCATCCTTATAGTGGTGGAACCATCATGGTATGGGCGGGTATTTGGATCGGCGGAAGAACTGAGTTGATTTGGATCAGAGGCAACCTCAACGCTCAAATTTATGCTGAGGCGATTGTATCAGACGTCATCGTTCCTCTACAAGTGCAAATCGGTCCCTTATTTCAGTTAATGCATGATAATGCACGACCGCACACCGCAAGAGTTGTAAGACAGACTCTCGCCGCAGCTAACATCAATGTCCTGCCCTGGCCTGCTCAGTCGCCAGACTTGAACCCGATTGAGCATGCATGGGATATGCTACAGAGAAGAGCTCTGCCGAATATGGAGGGTATCCAGTCGCAAGAAGACCTTTTTTTGTTGTTGCAACGAACATGGGCGGCCATTCCACAGCGTGATTTGGATGAACTCATTTTGAGTATGCCAAACCGATGTTCTTGTGTTGTTAGTGTTCGCGGTAGAAATACGGATTATTAATTGTTTAAGTTACCCAATAAAATTTTAGAGAAAACTGTTATTTCAGTCTTTTTTTCGAACTTTTGTGTTAGTGGTTCAAATGTCAAAAATCCCTTTATTAGGAAAATGGCAAATTTCTTTATTAATGCAAAGGTGACTTGGTTTATCGTTACTGTGACAAACGAAAACACTTTATTTGATGAATCCTTAAAGAAAATTTTAATTAATATCAATCAGGAGAAAAGTTATTGCAAAAATATATGTTGATCCCTAGACACTTTTGATGTGTGTATTTAAGAGATATATTTTAGTTTAACAGAAACTTTATTTTTACAGAAACGACAGCTCATCGGTTTTCCTTAAATAGGGCGTTTACTACAGATACCCCTAGAAAGCTCAAACTAGGTAAGAAATATTCCATTTGTATTAACAAGACTATATAATAAACATAGTATAATTCATGTTCCTTGTTGTATCTTTAACCGAGACCATAGACGGACCGCATGTTGCAGTCGAGAGCGACCATACTAAATTCATATCCGCAATACACGGACCGCTCGAGCAGTTCCTACTATTAGCGCCACTCCCCGCTGAGTACCAATCCCTTTCTATCGACAGGCGACCGGTTCAGTTAAACCTCACTCACTCGACTCGCTTCCTTTGCTTATGTTCGTTGGTTGTTCGTTTGTCATCCAAAATGGCGAATTTTGTCATTCGAAAATGCTGGGGTTACAAAGTATGAAATATGCCATGCTGTTCCCTTGATTGTAGTATTGGACGCACCCACATACTACGGTGTATTCTACGCCTACGCTTGCGTAATAGTAGTACAAGAAGCAGTGTTTCTTCATCGAAATCCATCTTGTAAATAAACTTTTCAAACTATTTTTGTGCTACAGAAGAGAGCAATTCGATCAATTTGTAATTTTATAATTAAATAAGATAAGTTTAAGAAACTGAAATAATGACGGTCGCATCACAAGACATATAAGAAAATTTATTACTTGTAAGAAAAAATATTGTTTCGTAAAAACAGTGATGTTCAAACACTTAATACAAGAAATAAAAATAAATTCACTTCACTTGCTACTAGGCTCCACAAAATTATTAATTAATTTAAAAGTCTTTGTGTTCGCTTAAACAATAAAGTCCCAAGCAATATCTTAGAGGTAACCATAAATACATTCAAAAATACTATAAGAAAGCGTTTCCTAAAAAAGCTTATTACAAATTGTCTGAATTTATTACTGACAAAAATGCTTGGGTTTTGAACTGTTCCAATCTTTCCAACAGGTTTTCTATAAATAAACATGATTGTATTGACGTTGTAACAACATAATGATTTGTAAATATTGTTACATAATTATTTTAATGTTGCGGGGTTTTTTTCGCTCGTTTTTCTCCGCAGCTAAAAAATATGTCCAATAACGTGTGAGGGAGAAAAAAGTTTTTGACGATTCAAAAGAGTTGTACTTTTGATCCAATTTGAATAAAGATATACTGTTTTGATTCAATTATTTTAATTGCATGCCTACTCGCGGGCGGCCGCTAGTATAATAATAAATACTATAGAATATAGAAACATCTTATAAAAAACACTAATTATTACTTTTTCTTTTTTACAGATAAATTTCTCTCAGACAAACTACCACTTTCGAAATATAACAAAAGTCCGTTTAAAGCAAAAAAGGCAAGACACATTCTGCGACCATTTCATATAAAATCAAACGCATATAAGAAGCGTGAAATATTTAAGAATGACAAGACCGACAAGAAATACTTTCCACTCCTTAAAAATTTGGGTTTGTTACTTGATAATTTGCTCAACTCTGAGCCAGTCGAGTCCTACGAGGTCAGTAAACGTAAACAAAAGCGTCACAAGTATCAACCAGAAAAGAGACCTGGATTCGTATGCAAATGCGCTTTACAGTCAGACTCCGAAGTTGGAGACTCTAAGACGAACAAAAAGACAACTGTTCTTACCAAGACTATCCCCACTGAGAAGCCGGCTACCGCCGCGACGTCCGCTGATCCTACCGTGGGTGACATCAGCGGTGTCGGACAGAATAAGGAGCTACCCTTACTACTTCCAAGAGATTCCCCTGGCAATCGGAGAGACAGTTATGGACACGATGAGAGAAGCCGCTCCACACTTCACGGAAGCTTTGAAAGAAATATCCCCAGGAATATTAGAAATCGTAAACATAATTCCAGAATCGAAAACGACAAATCCAGTGCACAACGTGATGAAAAAGTTACCTACAGTTATCCACGAGACGATGCAAGTAGCGATGAATACAGAAGAAGACAATACAGAGGAAATGCCGATATTCAGGTCGATCGAAGAGCTGCCTCTAAGAGAAAGGAATTCGAAGAAGATGAAAAAGACAACGACGTTTTTGGAAGAGACTCCTATGAGAAGCATACAAGAGAAATTCAACTCAAAGTTGGAAGAAACGAGACAAAAAGCGAAAACCTTTTACCAGAATATGTTCGAAGATACCGAAGACCTGTACCCGAAACTGAAGATGGCGATATCGCAAAGCCCCTACAATCCAAAAAAGATTATGAGGAAAGCATCAACAATGTCTCATTCGATAACACCAGTGATCAACGAATCACTAGCAGAAGTAGCACATCTCCCACAGAAGCTAAAGAAACTAGTGCAAGAAATGAAAACATGATTTCTTTTAAAGATTTGTCAAATTTAGATTTAGCGTTCCATAAAAGTCCTAAGTTTGAAACGCCTTCAGTCACTATAATAGATGGATATAGTGTTGCCAGTGATAAAAACGGCAAGAATAAGTTAACAGAAAAAACTATCCATATTCATACTTAGTTGTGAAAGGTATATCATTATTCAAAACTACATTTTAAGTTTAGTTTAAACATTTATAATATACAAAAAATAAAGAGATACAATGTTTGAAATTATCGTCTTCCTTTCTTTCCCTTACTTTTAGTTGCAGTTTGATGAGTTGCTTGGGGTTGCTGCTCAGCTGGCCTGAAAAAAAAGGTTTCTTAGTCTTTATTTTTCTTGATTTCCTATTTTATTTCTTATATTACATTACTTAATGAGCAGTTAATCCTAAAAAGGGACGAAGTTTTATATTAGTATCTAAAAATACTTTTACAAGAAACAATCAACTTGAAATAAACTCTTTCTAGGCATTTTGCACTGACCACTATGCTACTGAGATCTTAAATAGACATGTCAAAGGCTGCAATGTTGATGCAACTTGGTTATTCTATACCTATGCCAGTGGCAACTACTTAACCAGTAAATAAGATGGTTGAAAACACTAACAATAACATATGTATTATATTTATATAACATTCACACTGAAATGCGACACGGCGCGACCTTTTGAAGATGAAAATTCAAAAACCCATTTTACACTTCTAAACTGAAATCAACTTAAGACAATAATGCAAATAAGATGGGCTGATGATATAAAAGAAGTGACTGGGAGTCTCTGGCCGAGAACCACTACAGATACAGAAAAATTAACGAGGAGGCCTATCCCAAAAACACAAACTGATAAACTTGTAGAAGTGTAACTTTTGCAAATGAAGTGATACCAAATCCAACTTTATTTTGTACATAAAAAACACATTTCATTGCATAGCATAGCACAACTTGCTTGCTTGTTTTATTTCTCTCATTGAAATGTGTATGTATTTTAGGGCAGAAAATATAGTTTTATTCTTCAATTCTTATCTTAAAAATTGCTTGAACAGAACTCTAATAGAAATACTTAAAACAAATCAACATGGCTATTGGGAGGATTCACCCAGTTAGCATAGGTTTATATCTTGCCTGGTAGACAATTTGATTAAAAAAGTACAAATTTTCTTTATATTAAAAAATGTAACAAATGAAGATTTAGGTTAGGATAGGTAAGGCCTGTGCCGTAGAAAAGATTCAATACAATTTATATGATTATAAAATTTTTCAAGATATTTTAAATTGAATAACAATTTTGAACATAATAGACCCCCTTATGATAGCTCAACTGACATATCAAATTATATTTTTCTAGTTTAACAATTAACTTGAAATATAAAATTCCTGTTCTATACTACTTTAATTTAATGAAATCTGTAGAATAAATATGAATTAGAAATACCTATTTTGGCGAGTCTTCATCTTGGGTATAGATTCCCCAATGTACTTCATAACAGATTCTCTCGTTGGAAATTCAGGTTTAATTGGGTTGCCATCATCATTCTTTAACTGCACTCGTATTCTTCCTCTGTATAGCATTTCCTGAAAACAGAACACGCAGGTGGTATTAAGGTATATTGTAATGATTATTTTCATGAGGTATACAATTAAGTATTTTTCCAAATTTTATAGGGCAAATTGTTGACATTTGTCACCAAATATTAATTTGAAATGAAATTTAATAATTTTTTTGGCTATATACAGGGTAGATTATTCACATTAGATGTTTTGGTCATCCAAAGAATTGTACTTGAGCCTATTTAACCATTTCAAATGGCATGCAAATATTAATTGTACATGAAAAACAACCTCAACGTCAACTTAAATTTTGCTGCATTGCTGAAGATACCTGGCTATACAGGCAGGGTACCAGGATAATAGGGTATTACACAAGTTTTAGAAAACAATCTCACATGTTTAAGGAACACATAAAATGTTGATATTGATCATTATGTTGTGTATTTCTGTAAAAAAATTAAATAAATAATTTCATTTTAAATTTGCTGCGTAAACGTTTCTCTGGCCATTATGGCATCTCGCTAGTATGTGACGTCACACAGCTGTCATTAAAATGTCAAAAGCTATAATGTAATGTCACTTTGTCTGGAAGTTTATTAATGTGTGACGTCATTTTAGTGTCCGCCAATCCCAGGCGTTTTCTGTCAAGTGACCTAGGGGTGTCCACTCTGAAAAAACATCGATGTATTTTTTGATTCGATACTTCGCAACTGTACATCGATGTCTTTCGATGTATCGGATGAAAACATCGATGTATTTTAAACATTGAGTACTTTTTCTGAAATTTTATTACAAAACTCAACTTATGTGGAAAGTGACTCATCTCAAAAGAGGCCATCATATCATAGTAAAAAACGCTACTATAGAAGTTTATGAAAGGACCTGAATCTATAATTTTAATATAGTTTAGGAAATAATAAAATTAACTCCTTTCATAATAAGTAGGTAAAAGTAAATACATGTAAAAGCCATGTAACAAGAAAAATCTGTATTATATTTTACAAAAGATCAAATTGAAAAACACTAAATAACCCACGTATAACCCACTAAATAAGTATATTTGGTATGGCACCACGACTGTACAATAAATTACCAGAATGCTTAAAAGAAATATCCAATATCCAAACATTTAAATTGAGAGTTAAGAAATTACTTGTGGAAAAAGCTTACTATACAGTTGACAAATATATGACGGATAAATTTTAAAATAATATTGTAATCCATTTGTATTCCTGTTTTGTTATTTTATCTAATTTTATTTAAATGACCTATAGTTATAATTTTTATTATTTTTAAAGCATGTAACTGCTTGATGTTTAAATCTAAAGAAAATATAACTAGAAAAAATTCCACGCGGACCAGGCGGCAGACGGGACTCGAACCCGCACCCTTCGCAATCCGGGCGAATGCACTGACCAATTATGCTACCGCGGCCCTCACGGACCGCGTCGAAATTCTTTCTAGCTATTCTTAAGCTGCAAGGCAGCGCCATCTCTTCGCATTATAGGTAAACCCACAATGTCAAATGAATACTTTTACAAGTATTAAACATTTGAAAGAAGAAATAGCAATTATAGTTATAATTTTTATTATTTTTAAAGCATGTAACTGCTTGATGTTTAAATCTAAAGAAAATATAACTAGAAAAAATTCCACGCGGACCAGGCAGCAGACGGGACTCGAACCCGCACCCTTCACAATCCGGGCGAATGCACTGACCAATTATGCTACCGCGGCCCTCACGGACCGCGTCGAAATTCTTTCTAGCTATTCTTAAGCTGCAAGGCAGCGCCATCTCTTCGCATTATAGGTAAACCCACAATGTCAAATGAATACTTTTACAAGTATTAAACATTTGAAAGAAGAAATAGCAATTATAGTTACTTTTTATTTTTTAAGCATGTTTGATGTTTAAATCTCCGCGGTCCGTGACGGCCGCGGTAGCATAATTGGTCAGTGCATTCGCCCGGATTGCGAAGGGTGCGGGTTCGAGTCCCGTCTGCTGCCTGGTCCGCGTGGAATTTTTTCTAGTTATATTTTCTTTAGATTTAAACATCAAGCAGTTACATGCTTTAAAAATAATAAAAATTATAACTATAATTGCTATTTCTTCTTTCAAATGTTTAATACTTGTAAAAGTATTCATTTGACATTGTGGGTTTACCTATAATGCGAAGAGATGGCGCTGCCTTGCAGCTTAAGAATAGCTAGAAAGAATTTCGACGCGGTCCGTGAGGGCCGCGGTAGCATAATTGGTCAGTGCATTCGCCCGGATTGCGAAGGGTGCGGGTTCGAGTCCCGTCTGCTGCCTGGTCCGCGTGGAATTTTTTCTAGTTATATTTTCTTTAGATTTAAACATCAAGCAGTTACATGCTTTAAAAATAATAAAAATTATAACTATAATTGCTATTTCTTCTTTCAAATGTTTAATACTTGTAAAAGTATTCATTTGACATTGTGGGTTTACCTATAATGCGAAGAGATGGCGCTGCCTTGCAGCTTAAGAATAGCTAGAAAGAATTTCGACGCGGTCCGTGAGGGCCGCGGTAGCATAATTGGTCAGTGCATTCGCCCGGATTGCAAAGGGTGCGGGTTCGAGTCCTGTCTGCTGCCTGCTCCGCGTGGAATTTTTTCTAGTTATATTTTCTTTAAATGACCTATCTTGTAATTTGACCTATAATTTAATTTGGCATTATCTTCATTTTGACATGTATTCTAATTTGACATTATGGTAAGATTTTTGTATATATCTATTATTATTATTATTACTTTCAAATGTGACTTAGACATCTCATTTATCAAATTATAATTTCTTTTTAGATTATTAAAAGTACTTAATTGACATTGTTAGAATAATGTAATTAATAGTGAACTAAATGTAATAACATTGCATGTCAACGAGACAGAATATGGCTGAAAATAATATAATTTGTATACTTGAACACAACACAATATTACCTGTATTCGCAATAAAAATTATTTGAATTTGAATTTGAAAAGAATATTAGAAATATACTTCAATCTTAGTTTGTTTCACAAAACCAAAGGTTATTAAATGTTTATAAACATAGAAACTCGTAAATATTTTTTATTGTCACTGCACTTGACTTAACATCGGGTCCATTTCAGAGAATTCGGAATAATGATGCTTTCGTAATAGTAATAAGTAAAATTTCAGTGGTCAAACTTAAGTTTTTTTTACTGAGGGCAAACCAAAGAGGATATTATCACTACGTGATCAAACTCTATTACCAATTCAATGTTTTTCTAAAACATCGATGCATCGAGTATATTGAAAGCTTTTCAAAACATCGGATCGATTCGATGTTTTTCATTGCAAACATCGATGTTTTCGATGCATCGATGTATATCGAATATCCCTAAAGTGACCATAGAACAAGAAAATCATTTCTATTTCATGATATTTATGTAAAGTTATTTATATTTTTTTTCTCTCAGAATAGTGAAATGGCTGCTAATATTGGTATAATACAGATTCCAACAATTGGAACCTTATTTTTCATTCTGTCGAACAGTCGACAAACAAGAAAACTTAAAGACTTTATCTGAAGAGACTTTTACAAAAATGTAAGTCTCTTCAAAAAAACACATAAAATAAATAGTTTTGCTTACCTTACTCCTTTCACGCGGATATAATTTATTTTCAACACCAACATGCAAGCCAGCTGTCACCAATACATCACGTATCTCCTGGTGAGTTGGATTTTCAACACAATACGCTTTTGATAATTTACGTCCTTCGGCTAATGATTTTTTACTGTTTATGTAAGCAGGATAAATACATATCCATCTGTAAAATATAAGCAACAAAATAATTATTATTAGCAAAGCAGTATGTTAAAGCTGCACATCTTACGATAACCGTAAAATATTGAGGTAGACCTAAAAATTATTACGGTTATCGCATTTAAATTAAATGTAACACTACCTACCTTTCCACATCACTGTGCTTCTTGTCTGGACTCCACGACGTTATCATTATTAAGGAGTTTTAACCAAAGAGTACTTAAATATACTGGAAAGTTATAACTAGCTTTACTTCAAGTACTTATTACTAGGGACGTCTAATTTTTTTTTTTTTATTATTATTATAATGGCACGCACGGTTTGTGCATTGGCCACGACAGGGTAAAAGGTAAGGAAACCAAAATAATGAAGTAAAAAGGTTGTGAAACGGAATTTGGAAGGATTAGGATCAGGTAAGTACGTAAAATGAATTTGAAACGTAAGTAATAAGTCTTTTTAAATATATAAAATACGTTATATTATTCTAATAAATTACTTATAATTTTATATTATGTTTAGTTAGGAATTCAGATAGCTTGTTATATATATTATAATTTTTATAATACAATAAGGAAGGAATAGAAGTAGGGAGAGGTACATTAAGGGATATTAATGAATCCATAAAAGAGGAGGAATCATTGAGGGGACACTCGAAGAAGATGTGATTTAGGTCCTCTGCTCCAGTACCACAAGCACAAATATTATCATATATTATGATGTCGATTCTGGCGTGATTCTCTAAACTTAAAACTAAATTTAACATCAGTCTCTCCTTTTCATTCTGTATAGAGAATGACAAGGATATACTGTTGTCAAATTTAAGTTTAGGTTTAGAGAATCATGCTAGAATCGACACCTATATGTGTTATTGTGATTTTTTTTAGTTCTATTCTTCTCTATAGAGAAAGGCAAAGGCATAGTCATGCAGCCATCGCCTTACTTTTGTATTAATCTTCCTTTTTTTTTACTTCAGAATGTAGGTGTGATGCATTCTAATGCTTCTTGGAGTGTTTGGCACGAAATATATCGAGTTGGCTTTTTCGATAAGCTTCTGTGAGGTAGTCAATACTACAATAAAATTCTCACGTCCACTCGACCGGAACAGCGTATATTTTAAAGATTCCACTAATTCTTCAGTTGCGCAGACGGTTGTAATACAAAATCACACCAATTTTATTTCACAATATCCACTATGAACAAATTTAAGAATAATTAAAATAAGACGCCAACCGCACTCGATGAAATCCCGCCAAAAACTCACCAAATACAACATGAAAAACAACGAATACGTATAAATTATTGCGTTAACGTGATGCGATTCGTCAACTGAGCTGCGTTCAAAACTAGTTGCAACAAATGTCAAAGTTGATGACTCTGAAATTAATCTCTAAACCTAAAATTAAGTGTATCTTTGTCATTACATAAACAGAATGAAAAGGAGAGACTGATGTTTTAATTTTAAGTTTAGAGAATAATGCCATAATCGACACCTAGCTTCATACATTTTATGTCAAAATTAAAACGCAGACGTTCAGAAACACACACAGGTTGTTTTCCAATTACAGAGCATAATGCGACTCAGTGGCGCACAATGCCGAATTATGCTGATGCATAATTGGAACGTGAATTAGTTTTCAAATGCACCAGCAGAGTGCGCTAAGTTCAGTGTTAAAAAAAAGACAATGTTTGTACCTTCATCCATACTTATATTTATTTTTTGAACAGTTTGAATGAACTTTGATTATTTAAAAAAAAACTATTTAATGAAACGAAAGCTTTAATAATTTTTCAACAATAAATAATATTACTTACGATAACATATAAATAAAACATTTCGATCAATGCCAACTTAAAGAAAAAACACTTTTTAATTTTCTGTCACTGAGTTGGTACGATTGCACACATCACACGAAAGCATTACTTTTGAGAGTGCTCGATTGTGCGAAGCGTTGCTGTAGTTGAAACACTCGACGTTAAGCATTATGCCGCGTAATGCGCTATAATGCTGTAATTGGAAAACTACCTCTAGGTGCAACTAATGTCAATGAGGGCTATCGTTTTTTGTCTCACCAGATGGCGCCACTGTTGAGTGAGGTCCTGAAGTGTAACTTTTAAAGTTAGTAAACACGCTCGTGATATCAAAGTTTACATTTTAATACAAAAGAATCGTATCTTAAACATAATCGCCCATGCCACAGTGTTGCGCAGTCCCGTTTTGTTCGGAAAAAAGAAGGACAATATTTTTTCTTAGCTCCGCTTTTAAATAACTGACAATCATTGACACGTAACTCATATTTGCCATAATAAGTCTGATTTATTACCAAATATTCACAACTATTATTTTAATTAGAAAAAAACCGCGTAGTCAACCCGCAAGCTATAACATTTGACATTTCGGAGACCTCACGCAACACAAGCGCCTCTAGCGGCGGTTTCAGACGCGATAGCCCTCATTTTGACAGCAGTTCCATTTCCATACATTTTATGTAAAAGCGTCTGGATAAAACGTTGCAGTCAGAGCATGACATAGAGCACATTGTTATTTATAGAAAGAGCATGATGCGGAGCGCGGAGCATGCACCATGCGTGCCGTAGACAGAAACCAATAGACTTCTCTTAATTGGTCTGTGCAATAGACCAAGGAACTGTTTAACCATAGAGTACATTATATACTAGTAATAGAGATATCAGTTAACCTGAGCATACAGCGCCATCTAGCGATTCATGACATAATCACAAGTCATGTACTACTGAACCGGTACCGGCAGCTTTAGATGCGATTATTAATATGAAAAAAGGAAAAAGACATACTGTGTTAATTATTAGATAATTTACCTACTATTCGTTTACACAGTTTTTTTTGATAATTGTCTAAAAATGTAGCTTTAACACAGTCTGTTAGAATAAATAAAGAAGTTTTATAAATCAATTATTTTTATTTATATTATTAAATATTTGCATGACATTCTTTTAATATCATCTTTAAAATTTGTACAATAACGCAGCTTTATGGTGCCGTTTAATAATTTATTTACCTCACCACACCAGTTATATATAAAAAATCTACAAGTCGGATCTATCATAAATGTTTCATTGCTTTCTTTAGCCATGTTGTGTATTTGAGATTCTTTTCAGTTAGCTTCTTCACCACTTTTTTTAAGTTAGTTACACTTTAATCCATTGCAGATGCTGAAAAAAAGCATTTCAATAAAATTAGTTTCACTGTGAGGTGAAAAGTCTTAATTTCTTTTTAACTAATTATTATTAGTATAAAAAAACTAAGTGGAAGGTTAATTTCATTATGTAATGTCTACTTATTAACTAAAACATGACTAAAGCCCATAGAGGTAAGTTTAAGAAAAAAGCTAACAAAAGAATAAAGATGATTAGGATAGGTGCTCTCTAAAATATAGATAACATATTTCTGATATATTTTTTTTTAAAGTTAAGTTAATCAAGTTATCAAATAATTATAATAGACAAAAATCATCATCATCATCATCATTTCAGCCGAAAGACGTCCACTGTTGGACATAGGCATAGACATAGACAAAAATACTTATATAAAAATAAAAATTACCGGTAAGCTTATTTTTACTTAGTATTTTCGATTTCTTTACAGCGTTTTGTTGTAATTCTAACTTTTCAGTCAAAACACCACCTGCAAAAAAAAATTATATTAAAACAAAAGAGAATAAGGGAATGGTTTTACTGATTTGTATATCTGAAATTTGATGCTTCCATTCAAACATTCAAAAAGAATTTTGCCCCTACCAGGATTCGAACCCAGAACTTTACAGTAGGTATTGACAACCAGTGCACATTCCACTCTACCAGAATGTCAGTGATATAAAAAATGATTTGTAAATAAATAAATAAATATTTACTAGTGGATGTAGAAGGCATTGAAAGCTGAGAATGTTCAATTTCTTGGACAATATTCATTCTGTTGGTGACATCCGTTAAAACACTCCTTGGTGCACCAAATCCTGATAATAAAAAAAATATTTAGCAATTTATATAAAAATCACATTCAACTCAATGATTTTTATTAAGAGACCATTACATACACTCTTTACTCGATGTTTTAAAAGACTTTAAAATCAGCAATTTACCTGGCAAATGTAAAGTTGGGACAGCATGTGGAGAAAGTGTTCTAGTCCAAGTAAGAAACTTGTTGTTTTGACAAACTATTCCTTGCTTGAAAAGATAATTATTGTCCATAGCTAATATCTCTCCTCCAAGAGCGGAAGCCAAATTCGGAATCGATCGGGGTGAATGTCAGGGTTAGGAAACGAATGCATTGGTATTTTATCTGCGCCTGAAACATTTGGTCAAATAGTTAAATCAGGAAAGGATTGTTTATAGAGGTTCAATTATATGTAACTATAATAATAATAATAATCATTTATTCATAACCCTCAACATTTTACATTTTTATTTATTTATTCAAAATACATTACACCATTATAACAGGTATATACCTAATTCAATAGTGTAGTCATCCTTTCAAGCTAACTATAAATTCTTATAAAATTACATTAATTATTAACAATATTATTTCAATGTTGTAAATTATATATAAATGTCAATAAAAATAAATAAAAGAAAAAACAATGTCAATGTAAGCAAATGTCAATTAAAAATCTATAAAAATAAAAAAAATAACTTCAATTTAGGATGCATTACAAATATTCCATAAAATCTAAAATTCATAATACATTTCTCAAAATAAATAAAAATATATTCCAGTAAAAAAGTCAATAACGTTATTTATAGCACAACACTTTTAAAGTTACTTTCGTAAACTCGCCAATCGAACAGGTGAACAAATCGATAGACTCGGCAACTACATTGAGCGTGTGTATTGTTCGCGTCAGAGGTGCGGTGGCCAGCAGGCGAGTGCGGGCGCGCGGCACCGCGAGAAGCTGCGGCCGCCGGCGCCGCCACACGTATCTATCAGGCACGCATAAATTTAGCAATCCTAATATATTTGGGTTGCAGGTAATGCCTCGCAACACCCTGACTATGTAATCAGCGAGTGCCAATTCCCTTCTTGTCTCCAACTTGTTGTAACCGACCATGCCCAATACGAACAAGGTTGGGTACATCAACGGATAGAAAGGGTACACTCCGTATAACTTTAGGTATAAGTATCTCGTGTATTTATTTTGTATGCGCTCCATCATTTGTCTATACTTTGTTTCGTGTGGAGCCCATACTATCGCGTTGAATTCGAGCTGACTTCATATATGCGCATTATACAGGGCCGCAATCGCTTTCATATTCGTAAAACCTACTGAATGACGCAAAACAAAACCCAAACTTCGGTAAGCTTTTTTACAAATAATAATAATTCGTAATATGATCTTTAAAATTCAATTTGTGATTTAATTGTACTCCCAAATCTCTGACTGTCTCAGTCCTATGTAATTTTGAATTTTCAATTTTGTAGTCGAAGTGGAGCGGAGTTTGTGCTCTACTAAAAGATATTATGGAGCATTTGTTAGTATTAAACTGCAGTTTATTTTTTCGACTCCACTCCACCACCCTGTCAATGTCTCCTTGTAACCGTTCACAATCCTCGTAGTCCTTAACGGCCCACAACAATTTCAGATCATCTGCGAAAAGTAAACATCGAGCATACTTGACCACTTCTGGCAGGTCATTTATCATAACGATAAATTCTAATGGGCCTAGGTTGCTGCCCTGACTCACCCCAGTTCTGGTAAAATAGGACTCAGATTTATACCCAGCATACTCCACATACTGCATTCGATCCCTGATGTAACTTACAAAGAAATTAAGGAGTTGATTAGTGCAACCGACCCCAGCCAACTTCGCCAACAATACG